AACTAGTTGTATTGATAATTATTATGTAATTTCTGGAAATAAAGGTCCACGCGCAAAACTTTTCAGCCCCCCACGTACATGAAACCTTTGTTGCCTCTACTTAAGAGTTACTTTGGTCGAATTGGAGTCGGAAAACCCATTGTCACAGAAGTTAACCGGAAAAGGAGACTTCTTTGGGCTCAAGAACGACAATCATATGGGAATCCATTATTTGGAGTGACAAATCTAGATTTGAATTATTCAGAGGAGATGGTAAGAATCATGAAAAATATGATAATGATATGGGGCTGTTTTACGAAAAAAGGTCTTGGCCCATTGGTTAGATTAAACGGTAGTGACAGCTGATGTATATATAAATGTGTTAGAAGCGCATTTATTACTATACCTAAATACTCTTGATAATAAGAGTGAAAAAGAACAAACAATGTCAATAGTATTTCCTGGCCTGCCTAAAGCCCAGACATGAATCCCATAGAACATTTATGGGATGAATATTGTCAAATGGAGTGGTTACAAATTGATACAAAAATCTTGTTGATAGTATGCCACGTAGAGTAGCAGCGGTCATAGCTAATAATGGCTATCCAACAAATATTACTAAATGGGCCAAAAAATTCTTATGTTTTTCTTTTTAACAAATCTAATTTTTATCGAAATTGTTACAGTGGTTATCAAGATAATCGAGTTTAAAGTTGGTGTCCATGATGAGCATCAAAAAAGCTGAAAACGTTTCTTTTTGAAGCTTCAATTGATCGGTACAGAACAAAGAAAGCATCCAATTTTGCTCGCTCTGAGACATATAATTTGGTTCGCAAGGTTGCTAGAATTATTAGAATGCGCCCGCAGCAATGAGAGAGGCGTGACATCTGATTCTGACTCATCAAGAAGATTTGTCTCTAGCGACGCGCTTGACGATGAAACGTTCACGGTCGACATTAACAAACCAAACTCATTTTGAGCTTGAAGGAAGAAATCAGGAGTAAAATTGGCTCACATTCTCTCTCGACACGCCAATAGCAAGCTATCAGTATTAGTATCAGTATCGAAAACGATCTACAAGGCGCATCACGTTACGTCTAGTATGCCTATCTCGGAATACTTCACAACCCAGCTTGCCGCGAAGCGATTCGATTAATACATAATAATCTCTAATCGGCCAAGTGTCTCAAAGCTGGACTGGTTAGTACCAGTGAAATAACCACAAATAATACAATTGAAATCATGCGATCGAGTTTTATCAGAAATAATTATTCGTGGAAGTGTAATTCAAGACATTAGAAAGAGAATGTTATTTATAAAACTAAAATTTACCTTCTATAATTTTTTTTAATAGATTATATTAACATCGACTCAAGTCTGGAGGGGAGGAATCTGATTTAATCGATAAAGATGTGACAACAAAATGGATTGTGTCTGTTATCGGTCCCAATAAATGGCTTAAAAAAATGACAACAGTGGATTGATTTTAGCATAGATAGTTCCTTATTGTTATATGAGAGACTTGCAACGTCAACTAAGAAAAAGATTGATTTATCATATTAATTTAGTTCACGTGTTCTCGACAGGTCAGCCACCAAAGCCTATTGAATAATCAAATTGTCATGTCAAAAATTCTTTTACCGCGTTAGGTGATAAGTTTGTCTCTTTCTCCAAAATTCAAACAAACCTATTTTAGTTTAAGAAATTTTATATACGACTTTGAGTCTACAGTTAACTTTCTAAAGCATGCTATTATTTCAAATATGGAACAATAATACTGGATAGATAACGTCGCCAATTGCTTTTAGTTTATCAAGAATGGTTAGCACATACGTAAGTGTCTGTGACTTGAATAAAAAAAATTTTACTTTTACGCTAATTATATTATACGAAATCTCGCGCAAGCTAATACGGGAGAGCGAACTATCATCTAACCTTGAGATTTAGCTCTATTATGATATATATATCCATGAAAATAAAAAGCGACACAATCGGCAACTTAATAATACACTATTAATCGATTTCCTCAAGCTTAATTTACATTCGACGGAGGCATACATTAAGGCTATGGAGACGTGCGCATTCTCTCCAGAATTTCACGAGTATCTCCAGCACAATGTTATTCCACTGGTTGCTGATTGGCCAGGTCAAATACTTCCTCAGAAAGCGATTACTATGCAACAACAAGCGCGGAAGAATATTCAAACAAGTAAAATTCCAGAATGCGTTAGTTTATTTCAAACGGAGAAATTACAACAAAACACCGTTGTTTTTCTTTCAGACGTTTTGTATTGGAAGACTTATCAAAGCAACCACTATTTAAATAAATGATTAGCCAATCATATCAAAATTGGAATTGCCAATCATACAAATGTCTTATATGCCAAGTAGTGACGTATTTCGAGCGCAGGAATGTCGACGGCACTTTTAGATAATAAAATGCCAACAGTATAAATAATCCTAAAATATATCGTGGCCCGTGAAGCGATGGAAATGTATAGGATTATAGATCTTTAATCATTAGATCGAATTTCTTTCCTTCTTCCGTCCTTATATGTGATAACAGGATTGCTCATTTTATTAATGAAACAAATTTAAACGGTAATCAAACTGGTAGAGCGTGAAAACATTAATCACTCTATCAGTGAGAATAATCGATCTTGTACCTCGACTATTACAGTCGGCAAATACTGCTAGTAAATTGCTCGATTAGTATAAAATGATTATGGAGATAATCCCCACATGTAGAAATCGTCGTATCAACACGAGGTTAATTAGCATTTCGGGATTAGCTCGGAAGTACAAGCCGTGAGTATTTAAACCCGGTCACTGATTATAGAAGAGACTAAATCTCAAGGTTTGGTTACTACTCGACACATATCACTAAGTAACTCTCAACAATATTGCTCGTAAATAAAAAAAAGCTTACAAATAGTATTTGTAATCGTGCCATTTAATTTACGCCCCTGATAGATCAAAATGATTATACAACATTTCTTGCATCTTTTTTCTTTGCATAGTTGCGTCTATACATAACGTACAGTATTATGGGCCAATACTTCAAATGGGTTTCCCTAAAGCTTCCGACCACTAATGTATCTTGATGACTAAAAAGCAATAAGTTAATCCACAATTTCCTGCCCAGCTTACAAATTGCTCAAGGCTAACATAAGTTTAGCAGTGTTGGATTTATTATCAGAACAGACTGATAACCCATCTCTGACTACCATTGTTCTGGGAATGTGGACAAGGCATAAGGGTTGTATATTAAAGAGTGTGCTGTCATAAAAACTCACTTCGCAGACATATCTAAATCAATCAGCCGTTATATGTACTGTATACATTGATCAAAAATAAATTATGCAACTCGATTGTTGTCAGAAGGAACACAGATGTAAAATAAAAGATGGCGTTGATAAAAGTAGATAATAAATCGATAAACATGGACTTCTATGTCGGCACTGTACATTGACTTTTGGTTTGTTCAGCTATCCGTAACACAATACTCTGTACGCTCCATTGTCAATGTATCGAATAGTCTATCACATAAATGAACAAGAGGCTCGTGACACTTCATTTACTATTCTCGAAACTGTAAGCGCGTTTAAAGGTTCTTAGGATTAGTCTTCCAAACTATAAATTAAGGTTGATATTATAAAGTTTGCTAAATACTTAGAATCAGCGCAAAAAGGCTTTTGGAAACGCGGAACATCGATAACAGAAGATTGGAATCTCTTATCCGCTAAATTTGTTGGGGTTGGTTTTTCTCTCCCTTCCCCCTTAACATTGCCAACATCTGTGAAGGAAACAAATAATAAGCAAAAATTAATTAAAGCTTTTTTTATTATAGTCTGGGAAAAAATTAAATGTAAGCTTGGCATTTGTTTCAGATACCTTTTAAAGATTCCATAAAAGCACACAATATCTGGATCGACGGATGATTCGTTCCTATTGATGCAACATAACGGACTTTCGGAGTTGTTGATGTTTATCAATTGATGTTGCATCACGTGGAGTTTTAGATACTTGTGATATCCTTTCACATCGGAGTTTGTTTCAACGAGTCCTTGTGCTTTTATTGATTGTAGTACACGATAGGTTCAATAGTATTTGACATTTGGGTTATCTCGTTTGGGGCTGATTGCAACGTGATAGAAATATTAATATATGCTCTTGTCACTCGTGATACTGAATAACCATCGCATTCATCAAATAAGGCAGAAGTCTTTGCATGAAAAGAAGAAAAACTGGGACGTAGACGACATAATTACCGATATTGTTGAAACATATGAATACAAAATTGGCGAAACTTATTATCATATACAAACTACGTATATTAAACAGTTGCGAGTCGAAATCAAAAAAGAAAGAAAGGCTGCGGTATGCAACCGTTTCAGATTCCACATTTAATAATCAAACGCTTGTGTAATTAATAACAATGGACACATTCGAAAACCCGGATTGGTGCTACCAATACACAGCATCTACGCCCAATTTGATGTTTGCTTTCCTGATTTGATTTCCCATAGCCCAAGTTTTTTTCCTCCCAATTGTTATGCACAAAAGATGCGACAATAATGGCAAAAGACAAGATCATGGGTACAAATGTGTGTACCTACAAACTCGGATGCATGCAGTATGTGAAAAAAGAAATCGATTGCAACCCGGCCTAATATCCTATTGTATTCCGTCACAAAAGGGGGTGGGGTTTTTTTCGATGGGAAAGGTGCTGCATCATGTTATTTGTTAACCACTACTACTTTTTCTAACTTGCTTTATTAATTTTCCTTTTAATCACTTACAATTTGGTCACCAATTAGATATCACTATAATCAATTCTTGCCCCGCATTTCGAAAAAAAAAATAATGTCAAGGCCATCTGATCTAACAAAAGACATCTTGCTCTATACTACGCTTTTGCTCGATTACATCTCATACGCCTTTAATCACTATCTTTGCCTATTCTTTCATTATTTCTTTGCTTACCCAGCGCCCTCTACTCCGCCTATCCCCACATCAACCCATCATCCTGCTGTGCTTGTAACAGGCACGTCTCTTGGGCTTGGTTGTAACATTGCTCTGACTCTTGCATGTCGAGGATATACAGTATTTGCTACCGTTCGGAGGGTGGAAGAGTCCGATGAACTGACTCGTCAGTTGTCATTATGCGAAAACGAATATCACGGAAGTCTGATTCCACTGGTAGCAGATGTCAGCAACAAGGCCGATGTGATGAAGGTTCACAACACCATCAGAACAGTATGCAGAAAAAAAATCCCCTTTGTCGGTTTGATTAACAATGCCTCCCAGGTGATATACTTGCCATCTGAAGTTGCATCCGAGACGGCATTTAGGGAAAGTTTTGAGACAAATTTCTTTGCCGTGGTTAATCTGACCAAAGTCTTCTTGCCAATGTTGAGAGAAAGTAATGGGAGGGTGATCAATGTGGGTAGTATATCCTCGTGGCATTCGACTGCTGCTATGGGCGTATATGCCAGTAGCAAAGCGGCAATCAGGACGCTGAGTAGGATTTGGAGGCAAGAGCTGAAAGGGATGGGTGTAGATGTCGTGTTGGTTGAACCTGGTGAGTAATTGATCTGACTGATCGGATTTGTGAGCCTATCGTAAAATGGGCACATTGTGTTTGTGATGATGAAATTGTACGATATGTGTGATGACCCTAACCTGGTTATTTCTCTGTTATCAGGTGCAGTAAAAACTCGCTTTACTCAGCAAGTGCAACAAAATTTTCGCTCTTTTACATCCTTTCCGAACTTGTCCCGATATCACGAAATTCCACAAAACGTGAAATCAACAGTGGTTCAAAAGTACGAACGTCAATACCGTGCTATTGGTAGATATTGTGACGACATGTTTGAAAATGCGTCTCCACCTGGATTAGCAAGTGATGCCATATTGAATGCATTGATGGCCGCATACCCTAAAAGTACTTATTATGTTGGATTAGATGCAAAGCTGTTGGCTGTTATGAACTGGATATTGGGGGAGAGACTTGTTGAGGCTATTCAGGAAAGCATTATTGGATGTTGAAAATATGGGGATTGGGGAGGGGGAGTTCAAGGTATCAAATCAGTCAGTATGGTGATGATGTTGTTGATCATAAATGACATGTGATATAAACATATGTATAAACTAAAGTTATAATAAAGATATTTAAGTGTAAATTAAACGCACGAGTTAACAGATTGCGGATCAAGTAGATTGAGCAGATAATGGACATAACACACGGGTTTTGTTTCATTCCGTACGACGACGTGCATGCACAGAATGGAATGTATTCAAATGTTGCACGTTGACCCCCCAAAACACGCCCATTATCGGATCAAACTTAGATGACGCAAACAAAACTAGATCACACATATTATCATTGCCTTATTCTGGATGTTTAGATGTTTATATCACGTTGCACGCTTGATTCCAGTAATTTCCCTCACAATTAATAACTGATCGAATCCGTTTACATAATTTAATATTCGAACATATAATATCGAACCACTTATTTTAATGTATCACCAAATATGCGTTAATTGTCATTGTAAAAAGAGAAATTCTGTTCAGATTGTATTATGAGTCAACAAAGAATCGATACTTGCCGTTATTCACCAATAACATAATGACATCATTTGTCTACGTCCCACTTCCCAATTCTTGTTGTCTTATTCCTTCTGTCATCCCACTTTTTCGATTGGTCTCAATGTTTGTGACTCCCCTGCTTCGTAATCCGTTCGACTCACTTGGCCAATAATTTCGAGCCATTAGAGTTTTTTTTTTCCCCCTCCTCTCCCCTCTTTACGTTCTCATATCGATACTTTGTACATTGTGCATGAAACTTGTTAGGAGGTGGCGCTTATGCATAGGAATGTACATTACCCTTCTTCGATGCATCTATTTGTTGTATTCATAAAGGGGTTTCATTCGTCACCAACATCTCATGTACTGATCTTCTACAATGCAAAAAAATACATGGCATTTTGTTTATTTGTTTGTTTATAAACGCTAGGAGCGATGTTTTAACATGGCGAACGGTATGGGAGTATGGTGTTTGAGAAATACGTTTACGTTTTATTTTCCCTGCTTGAATATAACGACTATTGTATTCCGGATGAAGAGAACGTAATTAAACACCCACAGTCCGTCTACGAGTCCATTCAGCGTTTCATTGGAGGGATGTTGCTCAATGATGCTTTGATAAGACATGCAGTGTTTCACTCTTGTAATACAAACACATCTTTTGATTTTTTTGTTAATATTATTGTTCCTTGGCCTCGGATACTACAAAATATGTTAATCTCATTTATCAAATTCGGAATCACTCGATGTACTCACTCTGCATCAACTACAATTATTGTAAGACAACTACAATCATTGTATTACACCTACTTATTCCATTATTCAGAGACGACCATGTGCCAACGAAAACGTATAAAAGCACCTTCATCCTGCCTCATGTCGACCTCAACTCAAACGAGTCTTATCAAATAAACTCAAAAGCTGTGTGTTTCCATCTCACGGCAATAATCTCTCTAATACTATCTTAATAATCATACAATACAATAACACAGTAGATCTGTGTCTGCTCTACAACTTCCGAACAACAACTACCATCAACAATATAATAAAACCCATACCAACTCCAACATCAGCAGCAAGCGAATTATCTACACTAAAATTACTACCTGCAAAAATGAAATTTAACCTCAGCATTCTCCTGGTCCTCGCTTTCCTCCTCGCAACTATTAATGCAGCACCAACTGGTACTCATAATGGCGACGTTACATTTTTCTCACCCGGTTTGGGTTCCTGCGGAAGAGTAAATAAATCCTCTGATAAAATTTGCGCCGTTTCGAAGATATTATACGATCGGTTCACAAAGAATGGAAATCCAAATAATAACTCTCTCTGCGGCAAAAAAATCGCAGTCACAGTCGGATCGAAGACAGTAACTGTAACCATGGTGGACAGATGCGAGGCCTGTGGACCGAACGATATTGATCTTAGTCCAGGTGCTTTCAACAAACTGGCCAAGCCCAGCCAAGGAAGGGTTAGGGGACATTGGAAATTTGTTTAAATACAATAATCAACCATGGATAGGACAATTGCAGCTTGTGTGTATTTTTTTGATCATTGATTGATTATCATTTATACTCATCTTTTTGTCCTTTTACGAAAAAATTATTTTTATACCAACTGGTCTTGGTTTCTTGTAATTAAAATTTTATCGACTTGTCACATGATCTGTTAGAGCAAACAATATTTCAAGAGAGATTACTGAGTTTATTATTTCAAAGATTCATTGATATTTACTTCTTGGCCAGTCCAAGAGTACCAACCGAGTTATATAATAACCAACATTTATTTACACCATTACGAAAATTCCAATGTATTTATTTATTCAGAACGTCTTAACACTTGAAGTGTCAACACCAAAATCTGAATCGAGCAGAACGGAAATGTTTCTCTTTTCAACGTTTCAGGAAGACATGAAATATTATTTTGTATTTATCCTATATATATTATATTGTTATTATATTATATTATATAATGTATTGTATATTGCTACTTTGTATACTAGTTAGAATTATTATTTATTGTTATATTTTGCTCATGAAAAATTTTGGAATTTTCTTTCTTGATTTTTTACGACTCTGGTTAGTCTAACTAATAATGGTGTATAGTAATTAGACTTATAAGTTGGTCGTTATATATATTAAAACGAGAAAATGATAATAAATTTTCTGTTCCCAATCCTAATTATATAAACGTTTGTCATTGAAATTATAAAAACAAGTGTACGTACGGTAGATACACTTTTCCGTTTTCATCTATGTCGAGTCGCTCTGTAAAACCAACAATGTATTTCGCTTATCGCTTAATAAGTGATATTATAAAACTTATGCTTCTGCCTGCAAATAGTGAAAAACCGATGCGTGACTTCAAATTACATAATGTCTATGGACCCTACAACTCAAATAATTATATCCGAACAATCGCTAATGTTGGCACACAAATTCGTTTGACTTAACGTCATGATAGTGAAATTCTATCGCCTTTAAAGATTACTTTTGGCTGATATTTCATCCGGTGCACTTAACATGCCTTTTTACGTCCAGTGTATGGAGGGGAAACCTTCTTAGAAAACGTCGTTTTAACGACCATTGAAGGTTGGCATTCTTATTAGCTGTAGGCACACAAACATTGAGGCAACTCAACAATTAATTGAAAACTACTTTGGAACGATAATTAAACAGAATTTGAGACGTTTAATGTATGTTGTGGATTTTAAGAGTATAGAATTCGGGTGATATGCACATGTTTTCGTCAGGTATACTTCTAACTTCATTTGGTAACATAAATGCACGTCGATAATGTTTAAGGTAAACTCGATAAAATACATTTACCAAATATATCGATTAAATTTATCACAGAATAAAATGAGCAATAGTTGTAAAATAAATGGTATCGCTAATGCTCATCAACAAGAAACCTCATGTTTTCGTTTAAGTCGTATGTAGCCATTATAGTCCATCGATATGTATTACAAGCATGCTCGGGATTGTCTTCGAAAACGAGGGCGTCGGTCAATACGAGTACGCAGGTCAATTGATAGACTCATTGTGGAAAAGAGAGTCCGAAAAGTGTGGACTGACGAATTCTCAATACAAGAAAAGTCTCGATTTTATTAAATGCTATTCAATAAATTACTACCAACATGAAGCGTTATTAAAATAGGCCCAAATTAATAAAAATTGGCTTAATAATTACTGCACAGAATTCTGCGGAATTTTTTTTTGCTACTTGTGGTTTCTTTATAGAGCGCACATGTTGTTTATTACCTCTACAGAGTATGCAATAAATAAATATTCGATATTGTTGCTGTCATTGTTTTAATATTTCTATCGAAATTTTAACTTTCACACTTATAGTACATCAGAGATATCCTCAATTCTACAACATATGCATATTAATATGGAAATCGTTGTCTTGCAGGGTGTTTTCGATTGAATTAAAATCTTGTTTAATTCTATAGTATATGCAAAGTTTTGTTTGGTCAATTATTTACTTTTAATCTGAACAAATTAAATTAGAGAATGAACAAACGACAGTTAAAATCAACGATGGATTACAGTCAGCTAGATCGCAAAGTTAATACTTGGATTTTTCAATAAATCAGTATGTACACAATGTTCTTTGTATTAATGCCTTTGAAACAGTATTTATTTGAATTTACATAATCATAATTTCTTCAATACTGACAATACACGTAAGTCAATTTTTCACGGATATTAATTTCGCCTATCATGTTATTATAATTAGCGCAATCAACAGAACCACACACGTTGTTTGCAATAACTTTTTAGTGCCACTGTTTACTACATCTGTTACTGTTAAGTTAATTAGTCTTGCTTTGTCTAGTCTTTGGTCCGCTTTGTTATCATATTTCAGCAATTGTCGGGGAGATAGACTTTTAACAAAACTGCAAATTAGACATGAGTATTGTCGCATCTAAAAAGTTATTTGTCAGACGAGACTAACAAAAGGCTGACAAGCACACGAGAACCACAGGATGTCAGGTAAGTTCATAAACACGTTGACATTTCACGTAGGAAAAAGAAATTTCGAATAATAACACAACCCCTTTGCAAGCCAATGAATAATTGGACGCGATCGATCCTCGGACCTGCAGATGGGAGCAGTCTAGGTTTTGGCTTAACTGTAATTGCTTAGCAATTAAGCCAGAATGTATATTGACAGATAGCTTTGCCCAATTATGCAAAAGAATCAAGCCTTCATACAGTATATATATGATATTAATATCTTAAAACAGATTGGCGTTAAATAGCCGGACAAACCTCGAAATTTTGCCATCTTAATCTTGGAAAACGAATTGGATAAATTGATTACGGCGAGACAACGATTTCAATTTCGTTGATAGTACCGTCATGGCTTGAGCACTTACAGTATGCCAATATCTATGGTCTGGTCCTTTCCAATGGCAAGGTAATTAACTCCCTCGGGGTTCTTGATTGTACCTTTTGGATTTCTAACCACGACCATCGATCGTCGTTTATGATTACTCCGTCAGGTATTTCTTGAACTTCTACCTTTCGTTGGTCTTTACAGTTTTGGGACATTTAGCGTAACCGCTCGGATGTATGCTCGGCCTGCCTCCGTTAAACCTTTTGTTTGTGCTTGTGTTGCTACCTATGTTATCGGATAAAACTGACATCTTAAAATCCTTTGTTTTGTCCCTTTTGTAACAGAAACGTGTGTTACGTTGTTCAATTTTATTCGTTTCATCATCGATCTGATCCACGCTGGTTTTTGATCGATTGTTCTTTAGCACAATGTTTGTAGTATCGTTAATTCAAAATATACCGGTCGAGTCTAAAAATAGTCTTCATTATTAATTCTACAAAAAGAGCGTCTAAAAGCTGTCCAGCCTGCTGTATCCATCGGTAACACAATATCGTATCATTGCATTATCACTATAAGACATACCCATTGAAGACTACATTTACTTGCTTGTTTAGGTATCTATCCCCTGCTTTGTACGCTCTAAAAAATTTATCCAATCTGATTTCCCGCTCTTTGATCGTTTTTTTTTATTTTCCAAAAGCCCTTGTTTGGAGTTCGAAACTCTCAGGAGGTGGCGTATGCATGATTAATTCTTCAATTGCACAGAAAGCGGTCACTGTAGGGTTTGTATCATTAGCACTGCCGTACCACCTTCGTTCTTTCCATGACACGAACAAGAGTACATGCATATCTTGGCGTGAAATATCTGATGGTGCAATTTGATTTTATCCTATGTTCTAATTGATGAATTCAAACGACAAAAAAGGACGCAGACATTTGTTTGTCTATTTGAGTAAGACAATAACGTAAATACATAATATCGATCTGCAAATGAACGAGGTAAGATCCGTGAAGCCAGGAGAGGATCTGACATCCCTCGATTTAAAGCGTATGACAATTATTGTATCAAACAAAGATATTGATTTTAAATCTCGTTTAAGATCAATAAGTCCATCGAACCGGCACCATAGAGTCGTTGTAAACATACCTAATACTGGCCCTTTCTGTCTGTAAAACCGCCGCTATCTAAATATAATACTTCGACGCCTACAATATACTAAAAAGTGGGGTTCACTTTTATTCCTTCTCGCAGTTTATTTTACTCATCGCAGCAACGCTACATTTTTGAGTCCGGATTGGACGCTTGTGAAAGCACTGATTCATTATTGCGCTGCCGGCTCAGGTACTTGTACCTCAATTGGGGACCTGTCTCAGTTCTGGACTGAGACAATTGGGTGTGTCTGGGTTCTAGACTGAGATAACTGAGTTTTGGACTGAGACAACTGAGTTCTGGGCTGAGTGACTGGGTTCCGAGGTCCCAACTGAGGTACAACATACCGACCCATTTACGCGCAATAAAAATCAAAATGACAAACTCTGTGGAGCGCCGCTTATACGTGTATTCTATTGTGTTAATAGAGGTGAACATTTGCTCGCGTTGCAGACAAGTGTGTAGATTGCAGAAAAAATTATATTGATTCAAGTTTAAAAAGTTACTACGTTTGGTAAAGGAAGAATACCGGTTAGCTAGTTAAATAATGTTCTCACTAATGAGAGGTCTTTTTTACACCATAGTATTTGGCTTACTACAATTAATTTCTTACTCCGGTTGAATGAGACAAGCTCAAACAGGAGAGACTTTTTACATCAGCCAGTTCTTGTAATTAATTATTATTATTAAGACCTCAATTGTTGCGTAGTTATTTGAGCTTGATGATTTAAACTTATACAGCACTGTGTTTATGGATACTCGATGCGTTATCCTGTTTCTCCTTGCTATTAACTTTTTCCATTCCTTGGATTTTCGTTCGTTCAAACTGCGTAATTCTAACAAGCAGTGAGCTTCCTACTTATAAATTAAAGAAGAATAGTGCACCTACTGGACTTTTATAGTCATATGGTTGATTAATAGACTATCTTATTGCAAATCTGACAAATTCTAGCTGTAACACGGTTAAGACGCATTATTATTATACAGATCGGATGTTTCAG